AAATGTGTATACCTCGGCTAACTTTAATTTTCTTATGTAATTGGTATTAATTTATTGACTAATTATTAATTTTATGCTATCACTCCCAGTTGTCTTATCTTAGTATCTAGTTGCTAATAGTATTAGCAACATTCATAATAATTCATAATTCATAAATGTATGTATATATTTAAGTCTTCTTTAGATTTATGCTCAGAGATTTATTTCTGTCATATTTGTATTTTGTTTTAATTATTTTTCTGCATCTTTATATACTCGTGCTAACTTTGCAATTGGCCACTGTGCTGCTAAGTTATTGCACGTAAATAAAAATGAATTAAATTGAATTGAATTATTATAGGCTGGAAGTCGAGGATGAGGTGGGCAGGGCATGTAGCACGAATGGAGACAAAAGGAATGCATATGGAATACTGGTGAGAAAGCTAGAAGGAAAGAGACCACTGGGAAGACCAAGGCGTTGATAGGTGAACAATAATAAAATGGATCGTAGAGAGATAGGTTGGGATGGTATGGATTGGATTGGTCTGGCTCAGGGACCAGTGGAGGGCTCTTGTGAACACGGTAATGAACCTTCGGGTTCCATAAAATGTTGGGAATTTCTTGAGTAGCTGCAGATTTGGCGGCTCCTCAAGAAGGGCTCAGCTACATCAGTAAGTAAATAAGTATTATGGGCAGGGCATGTAGCACGAATGGGGAGAAGAGGAATGCATATAGGATATTGGTTGTAAATCCAGAAGGATAGAGACCACTAGGATGACCAAGACGCAAGTGGATAGACAATACTAAAATGGATCTTAGAGAGATAGTGTGAGATTGTATGGATTGGATTGATCTGGCTGAGGATAGGGACCAGTGGAGGGTTCTTGTGAACAAGATAATGAACCTTATGCTGGGAAATTCTTGAGCGGCCGCACCACTGGCGATTTCTCAAGAAGGGCTCAGCTACATGGGTGAATGTATGGGTTATTATTATTATTGTTATTATGCAGACACTCTTACAAGGCTGATCACGTTATAATTATAATGTTGCACGGAGTCGTGATTATTCTTTCTCTCAGGCATAATTCAGTAAATATTGATCACGTGGTTGTGGATCTCAAAGTACGTAATCCGTAAGTTATATCACGCCCAATTTATTATATGAAACCTTTCCTTCAGAAAGTTTATAAAATTCGGTTTAACTTGATTTCTGTAAGATCTGAGGGTTTCACAGCGGCGACTATGAACAGTGCTGTCTTCTGGAATGTGGCGCCGTGTAGATCTTGTGTGAACCGACGTTCGTCTTCAGGGTAGAAAAATTCTCGAGCGATGAACCAGCGTGAGCAAGTGGTTGCATACCGTGTTCTTACCCGACTGTACGGTGACAGCATTAATCTAAAGAATTTTGCAGGTTCTTTCCACCTGTGGCAATTATGTAATGCTCCCGTACAGTTGCAGAAATTGCAGTTGTCAAACTGTTACAGCTCCCTCTCGGGCTGTACTTTGACATCAAGAACCCAGATAGTTTTAAAGTCTTGCTAAGCCCATAGTAACGTA